CGCATTCTTGTTTGTTGTTCTATTTCTACTTTAAGCTATTGATTGCAAATAATAAACTAGAAGATAATGTTTTTGGTTTTGGTTGTTTTTTCAAATGATAAAGGATCTAGGGTTGTGACTTCCACCTAGGTGGTTACCTAACGGGTTGTAAACTCTAGGCAAGTTTGATTAGTCGGGTTCGTAATATAACAATCACACGGAATTACCTACTCTACACTTCTCGGTAGTTTGAATGATTTTGCCCAATTTGGCTTTCTCAAGTCCAAATGGGTATTGCACAAATCAAGTGATATATGCTCAAGTCGGGTCTTACTATTCTAGATTTGACTCTTTAATTGGGGCTATTAATTTCTTGAGTTTACCCCTATTTCTTGTTAGCCAAATTTTCCTAGACTTAATCTCTCTTTCTCAAGTAGAGTGTAAGTCAAATAGGCATGAATCAATGTTTGCAACCATTAATTCTGAATACAAGTATGAACAAGGCTAAATATCGCTAACCCAATCACAAACAATCCCTAAATCAAATACCAATTAAGTACCCATGCTAGGGTTGGGCCACAACCCTAGCTAGAGATTTAGCTACTCATGAAAAATAAAGAAATACAAGAAATTAAGATAGAATGCATAATAATTGATTAGAGAAAGAAAATCTAATGTTTAGAAGTTAATCTACTACAAAATTACTCAAAACAGTAAAGAAAACGGCTCAGGTGATCTTCCCAAAACTGAACTTAACCTAAAAATGATAAAACGTTTATTTATACTAAGCTGAAAATATCTGACAAAAACGCCCCTGCGAAGGTTGTGCGGTCGCATAATTCTGGTGCGGTTCGTACAATGAGCTTCTGCAGCCGCACAATTATCGTGCGGTCCGCATTCCTAGAACTTGGGCTTGGTACTTCAGGACTTCTGCGGTCCGCACAAAAATGATGCGGCCCACACTCCTTGACTTTGGACTTAAACCCAGATCTCTGATTCTTCACTTCTGCGAACGCATAACAATGAGTGTGGTTGTATATGACATCATGTGACTGCACAATTCATTTGCATGCCTTCAGCTGGCCCAAAGACTACTCTCTGAATCTCTTCTCTACGGCCGTAGTAGAATTGTGCGGTCTGCACTACTAGCCTTTTTGCCCTGTTTTGATTCTTGTTCACTTTTGACTCCTTTATGAGTTGATTTTGACTTCTTTGGCTTGTTTTCCAATATTCCTGCAAGCAAGCACATTTCGTTAGTTTCTAGGAATATCTTTAGGCCTTTTTGAGCTAAAACGGAAGTAAAAGAGAGCAAATAAGTGGTAAAATCCCTACTTATCACTAAGCACTCCTCAGGAAGAACTCGATCCCCACTAGCATCAGCAAGAATGGTCCCAAAATATCTCATCTTTTCTTTGCTGATAATCTCACCCTCTTTGGTAGATCTAATAAGAAAAATTGTGATATTATATTGGCAACCTTAGAAGAGTTTAACGGTGCTTCAGGCCAAAAGGTTAATTTTAAACAATTTAAGGTAATCTTCTCTGCTAATTGCAAGGAGGACTGGGCAATAGTTGTAGTTTTATGCTAGGAATTAGGAAAAGCTGTAAGTTTGGTAAGTATCTAGGGTTCCCCATCTTTCACAAAATGCCTACCAATAGAGACTTCCAATTTATTAATGATAGCATGAACACTAGGTTGGCTGGATGGAATACTAAGCTGCTAAACATGACTGGTCGTAAAACCTTGGCAGAAGCAAGCATGTGAAGCATCCACAACCATGTGATGCAATATATAAATCTGTCTTCACACATCACTAACCAGATTGACAGAATCCAAAGGAACTTTGTATTGGGAACCATTGCAGAAAAAAGGAAGTGCACCTGATCAAATGGGTTACTATGACTAAGACAAAGAATGCGCGCGTGGGGGGGGGTTCTTGGTCTACAGTAAGCCCAGATGAAAAACAAAGCCAGTCTCACCAGCCTAGCTTGGCGATTATACCAAAACACTAACACAATCTGAGCTAAGGTCTTAATGGGGAAGCACTGTAGTGGAAGCCAGGTTAGGATTAAAGCAAAGACTAGGACTTGGCAATGCATACAAGAAGGATGGAAAGTATGTATTAAGGCATCCAGATGGGTTGTCCATAAAGAGTATAGAGTCAACTTCATTGCTGACAACTGAATCCCCAATATACAACCCCTAAACTCAATCATTCATGGACCTTGGCATAACTCTGACTTGATCCTAAAGATAAGCTACATCATTCATAATGGGAAATGGAACCTTGGTGTTGTTCATTACCCTTTCCCCATGGATATTACAAGTGTGATCCATTCCACATTCATCCCTGCTTCTATCAACAGTGATAAAAACTTATTTGGAACCTCAATGGTGATGGGCTTTTTAGTACTATAAGTCAGCCTACAATCTTATTAGCTCTGAGCTAAACCCCAGTAATGGGCAGGATGATTCCTTTGGCTGCATTTGGAAACTAAGTGGGCGTTTGGACATAAGAATTATAAAATTCCAAAAAAAGTAAAATTTATTTTCAAGTGAAAATGGTATTTGAAAATTAGAGTTTTATTTAGACATGAATATAATTTTTTAGGTTGTTTTGAAGTTTTGTGAGTGATCTGAGTGTAAATCTTGAAAAACAGTTTTTTGAAATTTTTTAAATTTTTGAAAAATTTCAAAATTCATCTTCAAGTGAAAATTGAAAATTTTATGGCCAAACACTAGTTTCGAAAAAAAAATAAAAAAAATCGAAAAAAGTGAAAAAATTCTTATGTCCAAACGGGCTCTAAAATTCCCTAATAAAATAAAAATATTCACATGGATGATGCAGCACAACAGGTTTCCCACTGCCAAGCACCTAAATAGCATTATCTTAAATATAAGCCATGTATGCTATTTTTGCACCTCTAGAGTGGAGGACATTAACTACATTTTCTTTGAGTGCATCAATGTGAAAACCTTCTAGCATTTACTGACAGAGGAGTGTACAAACCATGATTGACATTCATACCTTGTGTTTACATTGATCAATTGGGAACAAACATGGAATAAGGTCAAGAACATGCATTTCAATTCTTCTATTGACCGGAAAACGCTAATGCCTTTCTGCTTTTGGAGCATCTAGCTCACTAGGAATAATAATGTCTTTGACAAAAAGAGGAATTTCACCGATGTTTCCCAAACCATTGCTAGAGCTACAAAGTACTACCTTGTTGTTGTCCACCACAATAACAAGGAAAAAAATATTGCAATACACATCCAATGGGAACCCCACTTAATGGCATCTACAAACTCAACACATATAGGGTTGCTTGACCAAAAACAGGTGTAGGAGGAGCTAGGGGCGTCTTCAGGAATAACAGAGGTGACTGGGTGGTAGGATACATAAAGGATATACCACATACCACCAGTATAGAGGCAGAACTTCAAGCCCTCTGGCAGGGTCTAAAAATAGTCCTTGACCACAACTTCACCCCTCTACAAATTAGCACTGATTCTGAACAAGTCATAAGATTAAATGAGGGAAACCTCCACTATAACTCCATTATTTTTGAATGCAGATCATTGATGGAGCAATTGGGAATCCAACACTTGGACATGATTTCAGAGAGCTGAACTAGGCAGCGGACCTCCTCGCAAAGGAAGGAGCAGTAAAGAAAATGTTTGGATGGACAAAAGTTTTGGCAGTTCTTCCGGTGTTTGTAAACAAAATTATGTGGGCAGACATCGTAGAAACTCTTTTTGCATGTAATATTAGGGGTAACCCCAATGTAGTGCAAAACAATTACAATGCAACTGTTGAGAGTTTAGCCTCTCAAACTGTAGTGTAACTATTTTTGTTATATATATAATTATCCAGTTTACCAAAAAAAAAAAAAAAGGAAATGCACTAGTAGAATGTTCGGCTGAAATTATTCTAATATTGAAGAAAACAAACTTCAATAAAATAACTCACTTTAAATTTTCTGGAACGATTATCTTAACTCTCTTCAAATTTTGACAAACGATCATTTGGAATTTAATTAATTTAAATTGATATATATATATATATATATANTTCATGGAGTCAGGATTTGAATCTTATGAATTTGAAATTCTAGTTCTTCTAAGTTATTCAATTATAAATTAATAATTTGCACATATTCGATGAATATATTAAGACAAATATAAAATTTGGACAAAAGTTACTAAATATCACGGAACCCGTAAATGAAGCTCTAGCTACGCTAAATGAAGTGCTCAAGAGAAGCGTGTACGGTGTTGAGCAGGGCTAGTCATCGCCCCGTAGTGCACAAAATACCAGCTCGTATAAGTACGTCAGGAAGCTTGACGTGACAAAAATTCGAGTCAAACTAGACTAACAGATTGGTAGTTCGTAGCTAATTTTTCCTGCAATTATGCAATGAAAAAGAGAAAGAAAACCCATGGTTTAGTTGATAACTCCGTAGAAGCTGGCCAAGTCGAGCCTTTCCATTAGTCTCATGCACGTTATTTCATATTAACCCCAAGCCGTGTCCCAGCCGTGCTACTTCTATTTTGCAACCTTTTCATAATCTTCCAACAATATTTACCTCAATTAGTTCTCAAACTAATTATTTATAGAATATATTCTAAATATCCTCTCTGTTATACAGTAAATAATTTATTATAACTGATTAAATAATATATTGATAGTACAAATATTACTTACCCTGTCTTTAAATTATCAAAAAGTTCTAATTATTTTTAGACTCATGTCCGGCTGTAACTTCAATTATATTCACTAATATTTCATTCTTTTTTTCTTGCCCATACATCAGCTGATTCAACATACATGCAACCAGATTTCTTAATAATTGCCAAGTGCCTATTTTGAACAATAAAAACCATAACCTACTCAACTCTTAGAATGTCAATTTCAGACGTGGACAGCAAAATATATAAATAGAAAGGGTCTTAATTTTCAGCTATATAAAGCCTACACAGCCTAAGAGCAAAACGTGCCATTTCAAGTTACTCACAAATTTATAAAGATGGCCAAATTCATAGCTTTTAATTCCTTGGTTTTGATCATTGCAACATTTGCATTTCATTGTGCTATAGTCAATGCAAAGATCTCAAGTAGCATGTATATCAATTGGGGTGCTCATCATTGTCAAATGCTTGGGGATGATCTTCAACTTGTCCTTGATAAATCTGCAGGCAAGTTTAGTTTTCTTTTCATATGTATGATATGTGCAAAAAAATACTTAATTACTTGTGTAGCCTTCCCTTGTGACTGCTCGAGCTGTAGGGGAATCCAGAATTTAGAGTCTGCCGGTTAAGTATACGTGTGATCTTACTATATATGTGGATATATTGAAAAGAATTTCAAATTATTTTTACATATGTATTCATATATAGTTTGCATCATGGAAAAAAATGGTCGCTTTAGTTGAAATCACAGAACCTGCTCTAAATCCACCTCTGGCTCGTGGCGAGTGTCTGCCCAAATAACTAAGTGAAAAAGGGGTTACAAACAATGACAACTTATGTTTGATCGAGCAGAAGATAACTAAATTTTGAATCTTCGGGTTGACAATATTACTGACTAATTTGGTTTTAACTTCAGGTTCTGGTGCGCAATCAAAGAGAACATTTCTCTTTGGTAGCTTTGAAATGCTTATCAAGTTGGTACCTAACAACTCCGCTGGAACTGTTACAACATACTATGTAAGTACAATTGTACAATATTTAAGTTTGAATTTTTCTTAATAAACCTTTTTGGAATTCAACTTACTACATATAAAAGTTGTTAGATTACTCAACCAGTTGTACAAAAAATTAGGAGTTTTAAACTATTTAAACTACTAGTGTATAATAAGACATTGTTTGTTTATTGATTCGTGCAGCTATCTTCTACTGGCACCAAACATGATGAGATTGATTTCGAGTTTTTAGGAAATGTATCAGGACAACCTTACATTATCCACACAAACATTTACACCCAAGGTGTTGGAAACAAGGAGCAGCAATTCTATCCTTGGTTTGATCCAACTGCAGATTTTCACAACTACACCATTCATTGGAATCCTAATGCAGTCGTGTAAGTCTATTTTTTTCGACTATCTTGTTTGCTATGTATATCATTATCAAACAGACGTCCAAGAGTATATATATATA